TGTCCCCCAGCCCCTTTCCAAGCCCCATCTGTCACCTTTTCCAAGCCAGGTGAGCACTGACACATCCCATACAACCCCCCCTTCCCCTTCCCATCCCCCGGGGGTACTACCTTCACCCGCTGGCCGTCCAGGACTTGGCTTCCCCCAGGAAGAGATGCTGGAAGAGCTCAGCCGAGACAGGATAGTGGCCAGCGGCACGTCTAGGGTGGGGTGGCCATCCCGGCACCAAGGGCAGAGACGTGCCCCACGTGCAGGTTGGGACGGAGCAGGGATGGGGCCCCTGGCTAAGCCTCTTCTCTGGGCACAGCAGGGTCTTTGCAGCATTAAACAAAGGTCGTGCCAACCCCTCCGCTGCTCCTGCCAGGCGTCCGATGGCGCGGATGGGAAGCCGGCGCTGGTGGAGAGCTGACACCATCCCCGCGTGAATATTACATGAGGACCAGCGAACCTGAGATGCCGACACAGGCTGCACGGCAGCACCGAGAGCCCTCCCTTTGCCAAAGCCTGCGTTTAGCCTGGTTTCCGAAAGAACGGAGATGCTGGAGAGGAGGCTGCCGCCCACCGGCCCGCTCTCCTCCAAAACAGTGCAAGCTGCTGGCCCATTGCAACCCAGCTTGGCAGCAGGGTCAAGACTGGGTTCCTGCAGGTTTGGGGGTGTAGGACCGAACACCTCGCCTCTGTTCCCAAGTAGGGACAGGCCTCCAAGCAAGCTTAAACCTGTATTAGACACCAGAGTATCCACCCAGCCTCCCACAGCACTCTCCCCTTGGATTTTCTGGTGTCTAATATGGGATTGAGCAGATGAATCATCTTCAGGTGATGGCGAAGCAGACATCCACCACCTAGTTTGCTGCTCCCAGAAGCACTTGGCTTTGCCCTTTAGGGTTCCGCCCACGTGGCTCTCCAGGAGGGGAGCATGGAGAGACGGACAGATTTCTGAAGCATGGGCAGGGAGGTGGAAGCAGTCTCTCTCCTGGCCAGCTTCTAGTTAAAGATACAGTTGCAGGTTGCTGGTTAATTATTCATGGCTAAAAAGGACATTTTAATCATTGCTTTTTACTGGGGAGTTGGGAGCAGGGAAGAGGGTTTCCGTGGCTC